TTCGATTAAACCAAATTAAAAATCATAATAGATCATAGTGCTCAAATGTTCACGGGTAAGATCCATCGTTTTAAATGAAAAGCGCGGAAAGTGTTGCAGGAAAATTAATAGAACTTTGTTTTTTTTATATTGAACAATTGGCTTATGGAGTTCTATTTTTAAATAAATTTGCTTTTTATAAACATATAACACCGGTGCGTTCCATTTTTAAATTTCGAGCATCTCAAAACTTATTGAGTGACCTACGTAACTGGAGACACAGAAATTATCCCGATAGGCAAGTCCAATTTCGACTAAGTGGCCAAGAGACAAATCGAACTCGCTCGTGTAGTCTACTAAACCTCAAAACACAAGTGTATAACACAGGGTGTTGCTAGCGATGACCTATGGTAACTAGGCATGATCCTTGTTACCTTATGACACGTGAAAAATCTTAAAGGTGTTCTGCAGGGGGCTATGTTCTGGGTTGCTTTGCGAAACAGAATCTGTATCGAGATATTATTGACGTCAGGAGAAATTGTGCAATAAAATCATCAGCTTTCTTGGAGATCGCAGCATCAAAGTCGTTGTAGACGGTACAAGCTCCGATTACAAGCCTATTAATGCTGGTGTTCCACAAGGCTGCGTGCTATCACCAACGCTGTCTCTTCTGCATATCAATGATATGTTGCAAATCCGTAACATTCATTGTTATGCAGATGACAGCATTGGTGATGCTCTGTACACCGGCCGTGGCAATATTTCTCGGGAAAACGTCTCCGAGTACCAGGACAAACTTGTGTCAGAAGTCGAGTCTTTGCTGAACAAAGTCTCGGGTTGGGGGCGACTAAATCTAGTCCAGTTTAACCCTCAGAAGACACAAGTTTGCGCGTTAACCGCTAAAAAGAACCTCTCTGTCGTATCTCCTCAGTTTCAAGGCACTCAGCCAGTATCGGAATCCTCAGCGTCGACATAAGGACAAATTGACCTCTAAAAACCTTGGCGTGCTCAGCAGAGCGGGAGAGTAGGTATTTCATCCCGGCACACCGCTTGCAACTTTACAAGGACGCCAAATTTCGTGAACGCACTACGCGGCAAACGTCCAGATACCATCCACATCAACTGCTTAGCGGTCCACCACTATGTTTCACTTGGAGTTTTCTTCAGACCAGCGATTTTTCCGCACCGATACGAATTAGGGACCTTCAAGTAAAGAGCTTACTCCTTTCTACAGGACCGGCAACGCACCTGCAATTCCCCTGGTGTTGCGGTTGTACATGGGCGGCGGTAGTCACTTAACATCAGGTGAGCTGTAGGCTCGTTTGCCCAAAAAAAATCCTACAGTACGAGTACTACTCCCCGTGGTATTGTGCCAAGAATGCTGACTGCGTTTCCTCACTAAATGGCTACACTAATTAAATAGTGTAATTCAGAATATTCTCGATATTCCGAAAATACACGTTATAAAAATGTTAACTATATTAGTATTTTTAAGCTAAAGTTTTTTGATAAAGCTGAAGTATCCAACGAACTGTCAGTCCATCTAACGATGGTAAGTGGCTACTCAATTCTATAGAAACTTGCAACTAACTTCGAGTAGAGAAGGTCGTTGTCACGTCTACGGGCTGGGATGAAATGCCTTACAGCCTTTATATACACCGGTACTAGGTAAGAGGGTGAGAAAGGCTATTTTTCTTACATCTATGGGTTCAACCAACAATCTGCCCTCTGTACCATGGTAGGAGGGAAAAATTAAATCATGGTATTATTAATTTGAAAGTAATACCTCCATAAAGTAACCTGCCACGGAGTATTTTAAATAATCCAAAACCAAAATATATATGACACCTATTTGACTTAAGTCACAAAGTACATTAAACTATGTAACAAAAACCATGTGGTTCTCTTTACATGCGTTGTCAAAATGAGTATTCAAATATATACTGTATAATTTAAGAAAACTCGAGCATAACATAATAACCTCTGCGTTCGACTGGGAGTAAGAGTACCTATTGTCTAAGACTTCACAAGCTGAACATATGCCTCCCCTATAAATTGCCTCTGAGACGAGATATAAAAGTAATTGTGTTTTGTGGGGGATAATACAGTTGGCAACTCGACGGGTTCCTCTATTGATTCACTGAATCGATTCGATATTTTCAATCGATCCTTTACAACTATTCCTTAACGCCAAATAATCAATATTTCGATTATTCGATCACAGTTCGACATGCCTGAAAACTATAAAAAATGCAATTAAATTCAAAACTTTAAAAAATAATTTCTATTCCTTTTTCCGAGTAAAATGGCGCTAAAGCGAGAGCGAGAGAGAGAGAGAGAGAGAGAGAGAGAGAGAGAGAGAGAGAGTCAGTGCATTACTTACGTTAGAATCAGCTCGTAGGAAGCAAGATAACCCTACACAAAAATATCATGGAAACTTAAAAGCTGTAACCAAAATTAATCAAAAACCGAATTGCTATAAAAATTCCTTTTCTACAAGCATATCGATGACGCCGAAACAATTAAGCAGCAAAAAAATCATGACTAAATGTAAATGCTTTCTGTGCAACAGCGATGAGCACGGGATTTATTTCTGTCAAAATTTTTACATATTTCGCCAAGCAGCAGAAGAAAAATGGTCGCAAAACTAAATCTTTGTCCTAATTGCATATAAAACCACTATGGAAAAGCGTGTATTTCAGTTAGACGTTGTCGTGAATGCAATAAGGATCATAATAGCCTTTCACATGAAACAATAAAACAAGTATTGCGACAACGGAAACAGCGGCCGAAGGAAATACGTCTAAAGTAGTTTGCACGTGTCGCTTCTAAATGAACCGATCGAAGTATTGTTACCAACTGCGATTATCAAGTTGGGATCAGCAGGTGGGAACCCTTCATAAAATGCGTTGCCTCTGGGACCAGGGTCCCCAAACATCTTTAATAACTGAACTGGCTCCTCAGTTATTAAAATTACCAAGAAGCTTAGTACTTGTAGATTGTAGCTTCACAAGGGTGTAATATAAGGTGTGGGCGATAAAGAAAGTAATTGTAAAGGGTTAATTACCATAAAATATTACTTATTACAGACTTCAAGTTTGAGATGGAGGCACTTATCATGAAAAGCCTTATCAAAAACTTGCCTAGTTACACATTTTCAAAACCAGATTGGACATACTGATACTTAGACCATATCAAGTTAGCAGACCCCGAATTTTACGCCAGTTGTCTAGTGGACATTCTATTAGGTGCTGATGTATACTCTGATATATTGTTGGATGGCATTGCAGAGTGAACTCAACCCTCCCGACATAAATCCCTCCCAAAAAAGTGCTGCAGGCACCTGAAGTGAATCCAAGAAAATTTTTGGAGTAGCAACTTTGTATTGGCAATCTCTACGAGATTCTGTTACTTCCCAATATAAAAAAAACGCCTTATTATTAATAAATAGTTTATTTGAAGACATAATTACAAGACATTTGATGGATAATTCAAAAAATGTTCGCATAATATGATTTACGATAATTTATATAATACGCGTATAATTTTTAAACACCATTTGCGATATTGTAAATGATTCATAATGCCTATTTTGTCATGTTACAATATTAAAAACCACCATTATGTACCTATGTTTTGATCTTTTCAACAACTGATCGTGATCTTAGAAAAGATTATTTCTCATCTTAAGTAATGGATTCTCACAAATAAATTAATGATATATTCTACTAAATTGTTACTATCAGTTATACCACCTATGAAATAAAATATTTTTGTACACGTACAGTTGTGATGTACTGCAATAAAGGTAAAATCATAAAAAATTATGCCCCACTGTAACAACATTCCATCATTTTACATAAATTTTGTATTTATATAAATCTATAGAAACGTAGATAATAGATATTTACCTACATTATAAATGCTTTTTATACATAATATACTCTTAATTGTCTGATGTTTATATCATACCTGATGCTTAGAATAATTTTGTTTTGTGACTATTACACACAATATTACAATCATATTCAAATGAACTGCACAGTAATAAACATTTGAAGCAATTTTTATTCGATGTAAAAATCCAACAAGAATTTATTTATTAATTATTGGAAGGTTTTAAATAACCTAATAATATATTATGATTAGTTAAAGAATCTTAAATAAAACTAGCGACGTATGAATATCATTTATAATAAAACATTGTTAAATTTACAGTAAGTATAAATTTAATCACGCTATTTCATACTATTTATTTAGTATTTCCAAGATACGTGCGGAATCATTTTACCACTCGTGAGGAAGCAAGCAAATGGTAAGTCATTTCTCAACACTAATTTGTTGTCTAGGGAAGTTAGGTGTTTCTAGAATTACCGTAGATATTTGAATTTCTATATTACACAGTTATGCACATGTTTTAAAACTTTGTTACCAGCTTGTGTCATTCATGCACTGCTAAACGTAAGTCTGATCTTAATAAAATATATCGTTGTTTCGTAAGTGATTTGTTGAAGCCCTGATATATGCAAACAGGCATTAAATACTCACAATCTGTCTGGATGTGACCTGTCCATTTTTAAAGGTTCGGTTTTACGCACTCTGGTGATCCAACACACTGGGGGTCTTTTATATCCCGTGTTAAGCGTGCGTGAGTGCAAAAGCTTAAGTAAAAAACATTATTGTCTTTTTTTAATATATAATACAAGATGATGTACCATATCGGTCAGGTGTGTTGCATAATGCAAGTTATTAAGTGAGAAATAAGTTAGAGGGAATATAGACCTATAAAATATGAAATTAAAATAATACAATATTTTGGTTTATCCAATAAACAAACAGAATACTTTAGTATCTGAAAGTATACTGAAACTGTTTCTTTTTTAATCTTTAACGGACCTTCTCTTTTATCCAGTGAGATGATATATTATAAAATGGCGGACCAAACATTCCCATTATATGAACCATTAAAATGTAGAATCGATTTTGAAATAAAAACACAAGAACGTGCATATGTCTGTGGATCAGCAGCCCAGTAAGTCGCCGACAGCTCTCGTACCGCACTCGCTGGCCCAGTATACACCACCACAACTGCTTATCAAGCCCCAAACGTATGGTGTGAAGAATTCCTCGGGCCTTTCTTCTTCAACGTAGCGGAATTTCAAGTCTGGGAATTTCTGAAAATCACAATTTTTTATAAAATAAGGGTGTAAAACGAGCACACAATTCACCTAGTGGTAAATGGATGCTGTGGCCTATAGACATCCACATTTACACTCGATTAACAATCAAAACGCCGTGAGAGAGAGTAGAGCCGTGGTAGCTCAGATGGTTAGCGCTCGCTGTAAATTTCACAATACGCGAGCAAACCGGGTTCGATCCCCGCCGGCACCAATGAAATTGTTAATTGCAATATTAAGTGCTGATTTACCACGTGCTCGGCGGTGAAGGAAAACATCGTGAGGAAATCTGCACGTCTGAGAAATAAGAAAAAAAATATTTCGAAGAATGTGAAGTTCGCCAACACGCATTGGGGCAGCGTGGCGGACTATTCCTTGCCCTAAAACCCTCTCAGAAATGAGAGGAGGCCTGTGCCCAGCAGTGGGACGTATATAGGTTGTAATTTTACTTTTTTACTTTTAACAATCAAAACGCAGATGCGTTGTCACCTCTGAGGACTAATGTGGAATGCCTCGTTTCCAGTAAAAAGGGTCTCCGGATCTCTACACTCACCGTACGAAACACAGCAGTATTAAGCTGTTATTTAACGGTGGTATTCTGTGAGGGCGTGGTCCTTCCCAGGTTAAGCAGACACATTCGTGCTACAGCCATAATATAGCTGCAGCGTGGCTACACCACATATAGATATTACATTACGTCCAAAGCTTTTTTTATAGAATTAAAGGGAAAAATGATCAAATAGTCCACCTCACAGTAAGTGAATGTCGTGGCCCATTGACAACTGCACAACCTTTGATTAAGAATCAAAATTCAGACGCGTGGTCACCCCTCAGGAATAAGAAGTAATGCCTCATTGCCGGTATGGAGGGTCTCTGGTTCTCTACACGCACCATTAGAAACATAGCAGCATCATTCTGGTCTGTGTGAGCGTGGTCCACCTACCGACACCTATCGATCCATTCGTGTTGCAGCTACGTATAGTAGAATAGCTGCAGATTGGTAGAGCCACGCAGCAGCTATATTGTGCTTGTAGCACGAATGGGTCGACTCGACCGACCACGGTCTTAGAGAATACCAGCATAAAATACCAACTTAATCATGCTGTGTATGGTATGGTGATGAACCGGAGATCCGTTTTACTGTAATCGAGGCATTCGATCTTAGTCCTCAGGGATGACAACGCATCTACATTTTGATTCTTAATCGAGGTTAAATTTAGATGTCTATGGGCCACAGCAACCACTTACCATCAGGTGGATTGTATGCTCGTTGGTCACCCTAATCCTATAAAAATAAAAGATTGGCTCTACTACGTAAAATGGTAGGTAGACAGTTTGAGCATGGACGCCGCAACTGAAATAATTATTTATAGAAATATAATGTGCTGAATAGAAAAATTTGAAATAAAAACATCGAAGAAATGTGAAGTCCAACGCATACTACGCAATATAGGGTTATTTTGCAATAACCGGCCAAATTTGCAGGGAAGGTTAAGTATAAGTAATATAGGCAAAACGTGAAGAAAAATTTATTAAAAAAATCTCAAACATTCTGTCCTTGTAATCGTTTAAATTCAAAATGCGTGGTAATGCATATTTTAAATGATTTAATGCGCACGCACACATTCGTAAGGATCGATCGGTGAGCAAAAACGTTATTGCTCATAAATCACATTTAATTTGGAATAATTTCAAATAAAAGTAGAAGCCTTATTTACTGATATTTTCAAAAACTTAAGTTCAATATTTGGCTACTCTTTTAAAAATAACCCTGTATAATCGCGGCCTTTTTGTCCTCTTCTATTTAGATTTAAGATTTGCTATTGTGATTCGCAGCGTCAATTTGCTTACTGCTGAAACGAAGTAACATTAACTTCTCAATTAAGAAAATCAGTTATGTAAGAAAATATATTACCCTTAGCCTATCACTCGACCACTGTTCTGCGCCTTTTTTGATGCACTGCAACACTTCTGTCACGCCGAGGTCACCACCTGCGCCCTCTTGTACCCTCTGCAATCTTGTTGAAAAGTATCCTATCACCTGTTGACGGACGGAATCTATTAGAAAAGGATTCTTTAAGTATTGCTGCTTTCTATGTTCGAATAGATATCTAATACATAAAAAATAATATTTGTTTGTTCGTATTTTATGCGCTGTCATACCGTTAATCAGATTGCGGTAAAACTTTGTAAACTTATTGCTTGCACTTGTGCAAAGGTTATAGGCATAGTACAATCAACTTATAATAGATTGCGCGCGTATCGTACCGACATATTTATTTGATAGTTAAATATCATTAAATTTCTATAAATGTATTATCATTTCTAATTAAACAATAGAACTCTTCCAAATTTAAAACGATATTTCCACAATTATTTAATTACGACAGCAAATAAAATAATATTATGGACGCCACACGGTCAGTTCAACTGATCATTCCAATTGATCAGTTCAAACTAAAACTGTTTATTGAATTTTCAACATATCGATTATTATCAATATCGGAGTTTTATGTATAAGTTTACTTATCTGAAGAAAAAAAAGAAAAAAAAACAGGCTTAGCATTGAGTTGAGGCGCAGAGGAACGCGGATTCGAATACCGCACGGAACAAGTTCTTATATGACTTACAAATAACTGTTCTGGGTCTGGTCTGATCTACAAAGGATTGTCCTTGTTAAAATTCATGTATTTAAACTTTCTTCAAGACAAACAAGAAAGTCCTGGTGTAAGGGTAAAGTTTAAAAAAATTAACTATAGATAAAATGTTAAATGTTCTCTGAATATAAAAACATATCCAAGATCGGCCATACTCACCATTTCAATGTTCTGTGCGATATGATGATGGTGCTGATGCTGCTGATGCTGGAATAGGTGTCGCTTGTGCAGCAACGCGTACACCAGGTTCAGGTTCGACGCCAGTTGGTGCGTGAGGCAAGAATTAATGATCTCAAGCAACATGCGGATCACCTCGTCTAAAACTGCTATGTGGTCCATCTAAAAAACCGTATTGTAATGTTCAATAATAATATATATATATATATATATATATATATATATATATATATATATATATATAAATTACGTGTCACGTTGTTTTTTCGCGATGGACTCCTAAACTACTTAACCGATTTTAATCAAATTTGCTCACCGTGTGCAGTTTGGCCCAACTTGAGAGAAGGATAGTTTTTTTGCCCTGAGTGACCCACAATTTTTTTTCCTAATTTAAGGATTTTTGATAGGACAGGACAAAGGGTCGTCGAAAAGGGCTGAACAATGCCTGCCTGGCAAGCTAGTATATATATAAACATCGTTCGATATACTACTGTGTTAATATAGTCTCAATATGTAAAGAAAGTATGTACACGCGAGCCTCTTTTATGAAATTATTTTCCGTTATGCTTACGTGGCAGTCACTTACTCCGTCGATGGATGCATGTGGCTCAGGACTGTGCTCTATGGAATTACTTGTAGGTGGCCTATACTCATCAGTGGACAAATTAATGATGAATCGCCACGCACCTTCGACAATCTTCCCGTTATTAGCTTAGGTATTATTAAATATGGCATACGAGACATGATATTATTGACATCCTTCAGATGCAACAAATATTCCTGGAATAATATACTATAGTTATAGTCCTTACGATACAGCTGCACAGCGTAATTTATGTTGTTTTATTGTAACTAGCACAATATTATTTAAATATTCACATTAAATAAAATATATCTATAACAATACCAAATACATAACATATAAATTATGTAATTGAGGGCAACAAAATCATGTTCTTACACGTACGTATGCAGGCACATACGGACTCAAGTTCGTATACAAATATGCACACATACACATAATCTAAATAAAAAATCCACTTACAATTTCTTCTGTTTTCTCTTCGGCGTGATGTGGCAATTCTAAAGTGTTAATATCTCCACCTGAAATACAGTTGTTTATTAATTCTATTTAAGTTCAATAATTGTATCTTTATCCATCCATTCAACCATCTATCTATTACAGTTTATAAAGTTGTTACATATAGAACCACCCACCCTCTACCACCTCTTAGGACACCCACGGGATCATATGTCATAGTCATAGTCATTTATTCCAAAAACAATATACATTGTGTGGGAAAACTTAATTGTAACAAACAATATTAAATTTAATTAATTAACATTATACGTGTTTACTAAAAATGTCTACAACTTAATTATTAATTAAATAATGCATGCAATATTAATTTTTACCAAACTCAATATAATCATTCACTGAATAGAAACATTTTTCCAATAAAAAAGATTTTAACCTTTGTTTAAAAATTTTAACATTATTTATGGTTTTTAGGGCATTAGGTAGTCTATTAAAAATTTTTACAGCTTGATTTCTAACGCTATGCTATGTGGTAGCGGGTATGCATTTCTATGGGCACAGGCTCCCTTTCAAAAATGACACACAGCCTATGCCCAGCGGTGGGAAGTATAGAGCCTGTAACTATATTTATTTAAAAATAACTCAATTTTATATAATCCATTGTCATACCACCTACTCGTGATTTAAACGATTCAACAATGATTAAATTATATGACAATTCTCACCATGTCACTCTGATTCAACCCTAACATACTCCTTCACGACCGCATATCTACTGCGTTGATTCTACTCTCGTGCTTCTTCTGCCACACCCAACTTTCACTACCATACGTTAAACTAGGGACTAACATAGCATCGTGAATTGAAATATTTCTGTTCAATATACTACAAATAAAAATAATACATTACAGTCTTTTAAGTCCACTGCTGAATAGAGGCCTCCCCCATAATACTTCATAGGGGTATTTTAACATAGTTGCCACGATTGGTGGTGGAGTTGGTGACCGCAGTTTTTTATTATATTGAGCTGTTATCAGGAAGATGCTGCTGCCCATCTCCTGCCTGTCTCGCTCTGTCTGGTGGTGTATACTCTTACACTGCAGTGTACTGTATTCTGTAGTGATCGGTGCCAGCATTGCAGCCCATTACAAAACTGTTAAACACTTTCTGGTGAATGTAGATACCGGAGACCCTTTTTACTGGAAACGAGGCATTCCATCTTAGTCCTCACGGGTGACAACGCATGTGCATTTTGATTCATAATCGAGGATAAATGTAGATGTCTATGGTCCCCAGCAGCCACTTACCATCAGGTGGACTGAGTGCTCGTTTGTCACCTTATCCTATAAAAAAACCTATATTCACTTAATCTATTATAACTATTAATCAAGGATAAATAGATATATCACCACATCCACTTATTAAATGTTACTGTAAGGTGGTCTGTGTGCTCGTTAGACACCTGTGGCCGTAGATGGAAAAGGAGAGATCTCCCGCCGGGCGAGGTGTTCTGCCCGGGGAGCGGCCAACACTCCGTGTGATAGTTCGGAGATGTTCTATATATACTGTTTATGATTCGAAATTTCGATAGCGTGATTTAGGCTTCGGTGTTTCGGTTGCGGCGCGACGACAGCGCCGCCACACACCCTTCCACTAAAAAAAATTATCTAATAATGGGTTTCATGCACTACACTTGCCAGTACGAAGCTGCCACTTAAAAACTTCTTTTTCACGATTCTCGATTCTACGCGAATCATAAAATCTAAATCTGTGCGCCCTTTATATTGTGTGTAGTAACATTTTGATTAAATTTTAAATAATATAAGCAGTAAAAATGCTAGGTAAGAGTGTGCAGTTTTAAACTAGGCCTCTAATATTTTCTTCATACCTTCTATTTCACTACATAGTCTCGATCTTCTCTTTGTTAATGTTTCAAATAAGGACACTAATCTCTGTGCTACATAAGGGTGTAGGTTTCTGAATTCACCTGAAACAAAACGAAATAATAATAATATACTACCCGTGCGGTTGAAAAATAGGATTGAAAATGGCAACGCCTCTATTCACCACACTCGCACACTGTCGCTATATATACTCACACCCGGCGGTAAAGACTGCAGAAAAAATACGTTGCGATATGCGTTTTTCCTACGTTCTATAACTTTAGTCCAATATTTGTTATTGGAATTAATAATAACAAAATGCCATAAACAAAAAAAAACAGTCGTTTTGCTTATTTGTGAGCTACGATGCGTTCTTATTTTTCTTCATAATTTAATGAAATTTAAATTTCAATTCTAGTTATGAAGAATTTTTTTGCCATTGAGAAATAACTAACCATTTTTTATGTTTAGGAGTGAACTAGACTAAATTTGGAGATTTTATTAAAATAGAAATATTGATAAGATGAAATAAAATGGACTTTAATAATTATCTTAATTTTAAATAACGCCACATAATTAGAAACCATCCAATCAAAGCCAGATCTTGTCGCTAGTTAAAAATTTCATTTTAAATTAATGTACTAACTTGCGTGTACAGTTTTTTTTCCAATATTATAAATATTTTCTTCTTAATAGAAAATTTCTAATTAACCCAATAACATAACGATATAACGATATATCGTTGTTAGCGCGTTTACGCTATTACTAACTGTACATGTTGACGGTACGAGCTCTATAAGCAGGCATATTTAATCCCATTCTTTATCCGTACGGGCTATAAATATTTATAGCGTAGTTTCCGCCATGGCCTTACTCTATGGAGTGTCCGTAGAAAAGCGTTAAATAGGAATAGCGCCCCTATAGCTATGAAAAATATTAGTGGGATAGACGTAAACAAATAATAAATATGACGTTTTTTGGAGTTATATTTACTAAATAAAATTATTTTAGATTTTAGAACTAGTGAACAGTTTAGTAGCACACTTCACAATGTCGACAACTGTTGAGTTCATTTCATACCATGTAGCTACTCCAGCGCCGTTGTGGAGAGTTTTTGAACTGTTATTTATTACTTGATGAGATTGTTCTCCTTAGCTCTACATTCCATAGCTTACTCGTCAAGGTAGAAGTTTTTTTTTATAGGATAGGGTGAAAAACGGGCACACAGTCCACCTGATGGTAAGAGATTGCTGTGTCCCACAGACATCTACATCTATCCTCGATTACGAATCAAAATGCAGATGCGTTGTCACTCGTGAGGACTAAGATGGAATACCTCGTTTCCAGTAAAAAGGGTCTCAGGTTCTCCACACTCACCATACTAAACACAACAGCATTAAGCTGGTATTTTGTGAGAGCGTGGTCCTTCCCCGGTCGAGCCGACCCATTCGTGCTACAACTACACTACTAATATAACTGCAGCATGGCTCTACCACGTATAAAATTGTCTTAATCGCCTAGCTTGGTAGCCGGATTGGCGATCAGACCCTGACATCTCGCAACTAAACGCTGCTCATCGCCACCGGTTTGAGTATTTTGTACATCTTGCGTAAACAAAATGGATATATCGCCATATATTGAAATATTATATATAATACCGAATACCGCTTTATTAACCTCTCAAACGGCAAGCGTCCAAATATGACCGCTTCGACATTCCGTCAAAATTCAAGCGGTCAAATGTGACCGCACCCACCCACAACACTTTAACCTATAAATACTTTTGTTTCGATACTACTTTTCTATGAAGAATATGAAAATAAGAATTATAGAATCAATATAAAATTTTCTATTATTAGTAGTACTTATTATATCTATTATTAGTGGAATAAAAAGTCACTTAGTCTATGGATATTTATTTATAATCTACGTTCATTTTGTATGTCATTTTCGTGTGAATGTTATTGTGTTGATTTTTGAAATTTTCTAGTGTTTTAGTATAGTGTTTTATTATAAAATTGTAATAAAAGTTTTTGTGTGAATATAATTTATCTTTTTACGTAAATAATTTCGAGTAATATATATAGAAATAATTGTGATTTTTACGCTGCAGACATCCTCTTGGTATGTATTTTCTTTGTTATCAAAATACAATAAAATATTTTTATAATGAAGTAAAACCTGACTTTTATTTAGACCACAGGATAGAGAATTTTGTATAGATTTTATAATGTCAAACTTCTTCATAAAAAAGTAGTCTCTAAATATAAGTTTTAATGGTTTAAAGTGTTGTGCGGTCGCATGCGACCGCTCGGGATTTGCCAGACGCATGCGACTGCATGGGATTTTTATGGGGATTGAAGGGTTAAAATATGTTTGCTATCAGTTTTCATGGGGCGACAGTAAAGAGTGCAAAATTAAGGTGCCTAGAATTACGTTCTAATTTTATGGGCACTAATAGGTGTAGTCAGCAACGCTGCCTCAGTAGAACATGCTTTTGAGCAGCTCCTATATATTTATTTATTCGGTATTATTATATAAATTTGATAAGTGGAAGGACTTTAGTCTTGAGTGAAGGCGCATAGCAAGGGTATATAATACGCGTAAAGCTGTTCTTAGTGCACAATAGAAAGCGTTTTTGCCATACGCGTATAATGTTGTGCTTATCAGATTTGAATTTGTACTGTATATAATAAAATATTTACACTATTTAGAAAGGTGTAATTCCTATACTGATGACATCCTGATATTTTGATCATTATAAGTAGTCTAGTGGTAATACGGGCCTATCATGAGATTTCAGCATTTGAATCCGGGATTTTTTACGTATTTCAGACACAAAGTTTTCAGTAGCAGACCAGAGTCAGGAAGTCGGTGATGTTTCAACCCCGATAAAAAGCTGTTGGTCCTGCGTCTGATCTTTATCCGGTTGATACCATTTGTCGCCCCATGGGACTATAAGAGTAGGGGCAAAGAGAGTAGAACTGTATTCGCATATGTACTGGTTTATTACAATCTTATCCTGATTCTTGTATCCGTTGAGTATGGCCGTCGTAACTGAAATTCGGTCCGGAGGGCAATAAAGCTGGGTTGTACTAAATATCGTATTTTAGTCACGATTTTGACGAGCGAGAATTAATACTTTTTAAAAAGTATATGCTCCGGGAAAAATGCGCATACATGAAATACTCAATTAAATTCTTAATAGAAAGAACTTTTAAAATTCTTTATGGCAATCAAAAAAATTTTGACATTGGTTTACACATGTTTGCACACCGGACAAGTTGAAACTTTTGTTTCGTACGGCACGGACAACGCATGCGTATTGCACATGACGCAGGACATGGACTTAGCTACGACCGTGCGGTGCACGGTGGACACCCACAGCTCATGTTGGCGACGGCGGCCAGGCAGTTGGTGTGCAGGTACTTGTCGCGCACGCGCGCCATGTTGTACTGCAGCGCGCGCACCACCACCAGCACCATCAGCCCGCCCAGCGAGATCTCCGATATCGACCGCTCCGTGTACCACGTCAGGTTCTTCAGCATCTGCAACGGAACCACTAAATGTATTTCAGAAAACATACAGCATACCATATACCGTAAGCGTAAGCCGTTAAACGCTATAAAATTCTATTTCAGAACATAGGTCTCAAAAGATAACCTCATAGGGGTATATTTGCCGTAATTTTAAAGCATATGTAGTATACATAGAAGTCCCTGTAATTGCCATGATTGGCAGGCGGGCTAATAACTACAGTTTTATTTTTATTTTTAGTCGTTATTATGAAGACATGTAATTATTTCAAAATAGGAGCAAGCTGAGGTACTGCTCTAGCTATATATTTAACGTAACGTAGATTAAATAAAACCACTTATACGGATTTTATCGCGTTTAATAAACTTATTTTTAATTCCCGAAGTACTGTAAAGCACACATGGTCACGGAGAGGACCGAAGTGTTTGACGTCCCAATGTTATAGTTAGCCCGGCTACCTTCAGTTTTTGCATATTAATTTTTTTAGTCTTATCTACGCTATATATACGATACTATAAAAATAAGTTAATTAAACGCGATAAAATCCGTATAAGCAGTTTTATTGTTCAGTGTTGTTAAATGTTTAGTGTTCGCCTAAATTTAAGAAATCATTATGTAACATAGATGTTAAATAATCTATATGCCTTACGGTTTTACTCATAAAAATCAACGCCAATTTAAGAAATACTTTAAATGGCTGTTTTCACTAAATAACGATAAAAAGAGACAGATGTCTCTTGTGCGTGCAATGCTATGTTCTAGTTTCAAGAGTGAATAGAATTATTATATATATTAGTCACGGTGAGTAAATCATTCCATCTTAGTCCCCAGAAGTGACAACGCATCTCTATCCTTCTTTGTTGGAAGTTGGCTGCAAACAATGTTAGATTTAATATAATCAAAGATTATTTATTTTTATCAAATTTTCGTTTTTTTTTTCAAAGTAATTTATATTATTTCGGATCAAATGTATAGCCTAGATCCCTCCTGGCATTGCTCTCAAGCAGTTCAGCTATTACAAAGATTAGCCTGGATACACAGCCAGACAAAACTTGTTACGTGGTAGAGCCATGTTGCAGTTATATTATAGTAGTATAGTTGTAGCACGAATGGGTCGGCTCGACCGGTGAAGGAACACGCTCTCACAGAATACCAGCGTCAAATAGCAGCTTAATGCTGCTGTGTTTCGTATGGTGAGTGTAGAGAACCAGAGACCCTTTTAGCTGAAATCGAGGCATTCCATCTTAGTTCTCAGAGGTGACAACGCATCTGCATTTTGATCCTTAGTTGAGGCTAAATATGCATGGCTGTGGGCCTCAGCAACCACTTATCATCGGGTGGACTGTGTGCTCGTTTGTCACACAATGCTTTAAAAAATGTATATAATAGCATGCGAATAACCCCTAAGCTTAATAAAAGTCAGCAGTATCAACATTACAAACAAACACTTCAATTTTATTTATTGTATAGATAATATTCCCTTGAGATTGCAATAATAACAGTGTGACAACTTACAATCAAGTGTACGTTTTTGATGAGAGAGTCGTCTTCAGTTAGTATCAATAAAACTATCAGTGACATGTAAATGTGATGTGAATTACTATCCGGTGCGTTGTACAACACTTGAAGGATTGGTACTATCTGAAACAAATATAATAATATTAAAATTGTATTATGTGGATTAAATTAACGTAAAATAAATATTAGCACATGCTGAGCGGTGAGAGAAAGTTATAAAACTTTATTGATATACAGGCTGCAAGAAATTTGAAGAATAGGTGCTTAAACTTAAATATCCTTGCTGTCACGCTGTGCATAAACTGCAATTAGGACCGATTATACATAAGAAAATTACCGAAATCGTCACATATTCTTTCACTTCCTCCTCCGAAAACGAATCGATTTCTTTTTTTTTCAAGAACTATATAAGAATATTTATGTACGTTTTCTTATATTTTTTACGTTTTTAGATTTCCAAATTATTCAGCTGTGAATTTTTATGGGCTATAACATAGAATAATGCATATACAATAGAACGGGGGTGGGCGGAACCCGTGTAGCCACTAATATGACACTAATGCTAGGGCCGCATCTGCGTCTATCGCCACAAAGCGACACGATACACGCAGATGTGACCGGCTATTATCGGCTATCGGCGGTACATCAAAGGGTTTTAGAGAGTACACATATCACGCTGCCTGGCAGTTTTGCCAACTTGATGGGTTTCCCGTCAAATTTGACGGTTCAGCGATGATGGCAACGGGAAAAATTGTGTTGTGTTTAACTGTTTTAACGGGCAACTAAAATTTATTATATGTATGCATATACTTTGGTTTGTTGGTTATTCTCTTAGATTTAATTCTGAAAAATAATCCATATGTGTCAAGAATCGTTATCAAATCAATTCATTTCAAAAAAAATCTTGTACATTTTTGAGTAAAAAATGTTTTACTTTACTTAAGACTGAAAACCGACCATGTTTTAGGACACGGCTTAAAGTAGCAAATTCGTTACAGAATGGTATCGAGTAGCCAAATGTAAATTCTAAAGTGTCCATAAAATATATTTTTTATCTTTAAACAAAATATATTTTATAGACTGTTTGCTTATAACACTTGCGATATTGTTGAATACACTTACCAAATTCTCCACATGGGCAACATTGCTCACGTGCCTTTTATACGCTTTACAGGAATGTAACATTAAATATAGAAGAAGTGTAGAGTGTTCACAACCCGCTGTAGCACATAGCGCCTTGTGGAGCTAAAATTTAAATTGTTTACATTAATTATACATTTTTATAAATACTTAAAAATATAACCAAGAAAACTGAATAGTTAAGTAATTAGTAAATATAGTAACTCTATTCAAGACTTGCAGATTGAGGGATTAACAATACTTTATCCTAATTCTACAATTTACGTATTCTGCTTTTAAACGACATATATTAAATTTAAAAACATAAACATTATTTGAAATAAACCACTTGAGCTTTTAAGTTTTTTTACAGCATTGGGTGACAAACCAGCACACAATCTACTTGATGGTAAGTGGATGCTGTGGCCCATAGACATCCACTTTATCCTCATTTAATAATCAAAATGTAAAAAACCCAGTTCCAGTAAAAAGGGTCTCCGGTTCAGAGAAATGTAGAACACCCTATGAAACACAACAATATTAAGCAGCAACTATTTTACGCTGGTATTCTGTAAGAGCGTGGTCCCTCTCCGGTCGAGCCGACCCATTCATGCTACAACTATAATATATCTGTAGCATGGCTCTACTATGTTGTAAATATCTGATATTATGAGGTTATCTCAGGTTGCAATAAAGTATAAATAAATAATTTCTTACCGCTGCCATGTCTATCCGTGGGGGTGTGACCTGCGCTGTACCATTGGAGTCCCTTTGTGGAGTTGTTGCTGATGTCTCTGTAATGGTTATTTTTATTATTTTATTACGACAAAAATAAATACACTTATACTCTATTCCAATTACGAAGTCCCTTTTGACACTTCTTAGAACGTAACTCTTCACGTTTCGCATTATTTGAAATAATAATCATTTTTTGTTCATGGTCATAAATTATCATTTAAAAATACACAATCAATCTAAATCATTATACAATTAATTCACACACACAATCAACATATTGTTTTTAGACATCATGCTCAAAATAATTAAAACTTTAAAAGATAATAATATTTTACTGCCGTTTTACGTTCTACAGTTTTATTTTTACTTTTTTACATAGTGACGTGACTAAAAGAATCGTATAAAATCGATTATAGACAGGTTCTTTTCGCGAGTGAAAATCTGTCAACACTGCGTCCATCTCGTGATCACGACCGCCATTTTGTTTGTCTTTTCAGTACGAGTGCAGAAGCCTTGTATATGATACGCGTGTTCAGTTTAGTTGATTTTGTGTTGTGTTTTTATTTCGTTCTCGTTATTGTAGTTATAAATGTTTGATAATTCTTTCGTTGTTATTAAGTTTTGACTGTTATTTGTTTTTTTTTTTTGTATATATAAACACTATGGCCGAAACTGAGACCACTAAAAGAACAGTGATGTGCAGTCAAGCGCGAGAGTTTGTAGTACGCATACAAGATTACTACACAAAAAAATATTGAAAGAGAGTATCAGAATGGTGGTCCATTGTTGCCAGTTTCACAAGTGACTAACCGAGTAAGTGCAGCTCTTGGTATTATTCGAAAAACTGTTTCCCGAATAAGTAAGGAAAAACATGGTAAAGATTTAATGGAAGATAACAAATTAAAATCGCCACTTAAGAAAAAAGTTAGAAAATCGATAGTTACACATATCGACAATTTTGATAAGGACGCCATTAGAAACCATATCTATGGCTACTATAGTAGGAACGAAATGCCGACTCTCGATAAATTGTCAAATACTTTACGAGAATCTGGACTGTTTCACGGCAGCAGAACTTCTTTCTGGAGGGTTTTAAAAAATGTTGGCTTTTCTTATAAAAAATGTGATAAAAGGCGGATTTTGATGGAACATAGAGATATAGCTTTAGCCAGATTTAATTTTCTATCATCAGCAAAGTCCATTGCCGTTTGGAATAATGTTATATTTCTAGATGAGACGTAGCTAAACGCTAATCATACAGTTGGCAAGATACGGACAGACGACACTCCTCACTCCTCCACAAAAGTACCTAGTGGCAAAGGCGAACGCTTAATTATTTGTCATGCGGATTCCATGAAGGGATTTGTTCAGAACTGCCTCTTGGCGTTTAAATCTAAGAAAACTGTGGAATACTACGAAGAGATGAATTTTGTTAAATTTAAGGAATGGCTTATTAACCAACTTGAATGAGCCATCGACGATCATTATGGATAATGCACCGTATCATTCAGTACAAATAAGTAAGCCTCCAACTTCTACCAGCAAAAAAGCCGATATTGTTAAATGGCTGAATGACAATAATATTGTTGCTGACATGTCCATGTTAAAAGTTGAGCTGCTGCATTCGGTTGCTATAAATAAGCCAGCTAGACCAAAATACGTACTGGACGAAATGGCTAAGGAAGCCGGACACAATGTAATGCGCCTGTTGCAAGAAGCTTGTGATAGTGTTACTGCCGCGAATTGGGAAAGTGTAGTTTTACGAACAAAAAATTTGATTTTCGCTGATTGGGACAGAGACATACATATCGATGCCGACCATGAAATATCGATTTCGGCTAGTGATGATGAATATGTTCCATCTTGATAAAAATATCATGTAATATTATCTAATTAAAATTAAAAAACAGTTTTATAAATTTTAATTTGATGCTAATCCTTTTTCTGTCAATACGATTTTAATTTGTTCGTTATAGTAATCGAAGATCAATATCGTCAAGTATCGACTATAGCAGTACTTTACTAGTTCTTGATTATTGACATCTGTCAAATGGGACTTCGTAATTGGAATAGAGTATAATGGATTATTATACAAATAAGTATATTTACATTATGCCTAAAATACTTAATTTATAATCCACACCTATGTGGTTTTTTTCTAACTAATATTTTACAGTTGAGCAAAAAAGGAATGATTATAATGAATCATCAGAATTTGTTGATTACGATTAAACTACAGAGAGTGTGAGGTGTGTGCTAAGTGAAAGTTTTTGTGTGTATGTATGTATGTATGTATGTATGTAGATAAAAAATGTTTAAAATAAGGCCAATGATACGGAATGAAAAATTTAAACAAATTTTCAGAGGTTGTAAACATTTTTTTTTTCTAAAGAAAATATCTACTAATCAATTGAGCAAATTGTAAAATTCCAAAAGAGGAAGGTACCGATAATTCACCTGCCGTGTCTTCGCAACAAAGCAGCGCGTTCCTGTACAGATTGTCTTGCGTCATGCAGTGGTTCGCCAACGCCAGCAGCAACAAGCAAGACTGGTTAGCAACGCCGTGTTCCCGTTTTAGCCGCTCCAGCAACTCGGTGCGATCGAGAGGCGGGTGGCTGTAAATCGTTTGACGGGAGTTTGCGCCGAAGGTCAGCATGCTCCAGAGCCCGGCTGGAATCAAAAATAACCTTCTCAACATCATTTAATAAAAGAATGCTAGTGAGTAACATTACTGAAATAACAAATACTCCCGACAAACACTCTAACGGTACGTGTACGCCAAATGCGAATTTGTCGGCCGATGGCGGACAGAATTACCCGGACTAGTAACTCGGACGTGTATGTGTTTACACTGCAACAGTGTACCATTTGTGCCGACATTAGACGTTACCGGTATTTTTTTCTATTTTTCTATTATATATTATATGTATTTTTTTCTATTTTTTCAATATCCATAGTCGTTTAGGTAGACAACAACACTGACAGAAACAACAGAATAAAGACAAAATGATTAAATTAAACTATAAAGACACTCAATTTGCACTGTAGACGCCGGCAGTCGGGCGAGAAATCTCAACAAGTTCACACTCGACGGTAGATCGGCCGTTTTCGTGCGTTATCGGACGATGACGGTCGTGTTTGTGTACGCGCTCTCTTTGTTTTACAAGTGTTTGATTCGATCGTCCGAGTTCGGCCGTCATCGCCCGAGCAAACTTCGGCCGATGACGGATTAGGTGTATGCGAAGCGTAAGTAAGCTTAAATTCCTTGTGTTAGGAGTGTTTCACTACAGAAGTCGAACGGCTGATTCAAACCCACAACTTTTAGAGCTAGCATTACGAGCCCATTTGGCTGTTATAGCTTCAATCCAAAATAGTATATTAGTTTCCCGATCACTTATCCCCCGTCTCATTTTATATATTGTTCGATGGTGATGATGTCTTTGCCGATTTACGCACATGGGATAATACTGCGCCACAAGGTAAACTGCGCTGTCAAATCCAAAAAATATTGTAATTTAATTTTGGTTCTGGTGAGGAACCAAAGCTAAATCCCGCAGAATTTCTGGATAGACTTAAGAATATGCATACTGCCTTACAGTCCATAAAAGTTTACCTGTACTGGTTAGATTTTATTTTTTTTATATGAAAAGGGTGACAAACAAGCATACAGTCCACCTGGTAAGTGGATGCTGTGGCCCATATCTATCTATCTACATCTATCCTCGATTAAGAATCAAAATGCAGGTGTGTTATCACCCCGGGATTCCAGGACTATGATGGAACGCCTCGTTTTCAGTAAAAAGGGTCTATCAGCGACAAGACTCCATCTGCGCTCCTAGGTGCACATAGTTGTAGGGAAAACATATATATATATATATATATATATATATATATATATATATATATATATATATATATATATATATAGATATATATATATATACATATATATATATATATATATATATATATATATATAGTGTAAGGATTATGTAAAAATTATAATAAATAAAGGCTCCAAAGGTTTCGGCTTAAAGTAAAAATGACACGCGAGGAAGGCAAAACCGCATAAGCGTCCGTACGGTAACGCCGGCCGGTATAAAGGTCGAGCCGATTTCGGCTCAAGCGCAGCCAGATGTGCGCGGGCGACGCTCTTGCCGGCCTGGCATCCAAGCTGCCAACAAAAACCAAGCTCCGGATATACATCTTGTATTATTACCTACGCTGCTCCAGCCTGGTACGCGCTTCTGAGCGACCCTCTGAGGCGGCGACTGCAGGCCCAGCAGAACCTGTCATTAAGGACGAGCTTTGGAGTAGGTCGCTACGTCCGGAATGAGGTCATAGCGGCCGATCTGAAAGTCGAGACCATCACCGACTTCGTGACCCGGCTGGCGCGCGGCATGTTCGACCGCGCCGACAACGGGCCACATGAACACCTCAACGGCTTCGCGCCGTTGCACACACGGCCTCCCGGACGGGCGACCTCTTCCAAGAGAGTTCCTCTCTATAGCGATTAGAGAATCGAGTAACAACCCTCAATGCCCCTGATAGGCCAACTTCGACTTTTACTGGACAACCTCGACTACGGGAAAAAAAAATTTCTGACTACGGATATCCATCCCTTGACAACCAAGCCTAATAAAGGCTCCTAGGACTGGCCCATAGTGGTGGGCCATGAGGAAAGTCCGGGCAATGGGGGCATACCCCGAGGCCCGAGACCTGAAGGACCCATAGTCCATGCAGATGACAACACGAGAGCTCAAGCGCGAGTCTCGTCCGGACCGCGCTAGCAAGCGGTCTCGTCCGCCGGTCGTCGACTTTCGCCCGGGTGGGAGAAGTACAGCGCGTCGCTTCGCAGTGGGTGCACGTGCTGTGGGGCCAACTCGGCTTGTGTAGAGCCTCGAGGACGCACCTGACCCCACCCGGGATGTTAAGTACCTAACACTGCGCTTAATCTACATGGTGGGAAGCGAACTCCGAAGGCCCGGCGCGCTGCTGGGAGCGCGCGCCTGTTGGTGACTTCGGCTCCGCGTCGAGATGCGTCTCCACGGGTCCTAGAGGTTGCTGACCCTTCGGCAGATCCCTTCCCAGAGGCGCGAGATACGCCAACTTCTGCCTAGGGATACCAGACCATCACCTAGAGCCAGAAAGGAGCACTGGAGGCCCGGAGTGCTGCTGTCAGGAGCCCACTCCTGTCGGCAAGATTGGTCCTGCGTCGACTCCTTACCTCGGAACTCCGCGGGGCTTTGAAATGGCTGACCCTCCGGTAGCACCTACCTAGTGGCGCGCAATACGCCAAGAAGATTACCGACAACGCCGTACATGTACGGCTCCCAAGACCGGCCCATAGATATGGGTTGTGAGGATTACCCGGGTAATGGGGAACTCCTCGAGGCCCGAACCTGCAAGGGATAAAGAATAGTAGTCCCCTGTAGATGACAATACGAAGCTCAAGCGCAAGGATCTCCTAGGTGTGTGTTGTTTGTAGTTAGCAGTGGCTGCATACAACCGACGGTACGACATACTCCGCCGATCGTTGATTCCGTTACTCCGTGAGACGTCGAGGTCACCGGCCCCTAGGCAGATTCTTAGGCACTTTAAAGCGTTCCGTGCTTACTGTGCCTAGTCGCGTCTTTAAAATACCACCACCACACTTCCCCCAACCCTTTTGCTATAAAAGGGGTAGGCAGTGCCCATTGTGTCGAAGCCAACATTTTTATCATCCCTACCATTCGCGTTGCGCATCACTAGTTGCTGTCGATCGTCTGGTAATTCAGATAGAGCCCTTAGTAGATCACTGACTCACTATATAGGTAGTTTATTATCATCATGTCAGATAAGGACAAGGGGGAGCCACCTCCTAAAACCAGAAAACCACTGGACCGTCCTGACGTTTTGGAGAGACCAATCGCCTACCGGGACATTTTTAACCCCGAGCGGACCAGAGTAGTGTCCTCCCACTCCCAAATCCCTACTAGAAAGCCTTCGTCGCCGGGTAAAGAGCCCGCACCGAGGGCCGCGCTCTCGCCCGTCGTACCTGAGTGTACGACCGGCCGTGAACTGTTGCCCCTACAACAGCTACAAAGAAAACGCCACGAAGGCACACCCCACCCGAGACCGCTGCATCTCTCCAGGAGAAGAGACAATGCTTCGGTTCTTCATATTCCTCGGAATACTCAACATCCGAAGAGGAAAGCGATCGTCGACAACCGCAAAGGCCCAAGATCCGCAGAACACCATCTAAATCGCCAACGCCAAACAAATCAACACCTCCCATATCACCGGATCACCATAGCAGCATGGATGCTGCTGATCTGGAGCAAGGAGGAGAAGGGTCGTATGGGTGGGACTCAGCCACCTATGCGACCCTAGCGCCATCTGCCGGGCACTTATTGTCCGCGCCAAACACCAACCAGTCAGGCCGGCCATCAGATGATGGTCAGAGGCCTTCAACAAGCTACGCCCAACTGGCAGCTGCCCCAGCAGTGCCAAGGACCAGGACAGCTACAGCCTACAGCCCATAGTGGCAGAGTGCCTCCCGGACTGGACGAAGCATTTTGAGTTACTCAACAAGATGTTGGGTCACCCACCGAATGCTCGTCCGTTCGGGAAGGGGGTAAGGTTCACCCCGCAAAGTCCGGAATAATTACCGGTACCTTATGGAGATTACCGAGAAAGTACCAGCCATGTCCTGGTACTGCTACACACCCGAAGACGATAAGCCCACAAAAGTGGGCATACGGGGACTGCCATTGGGCACGGATCCATCCGCAATAGAGGGGGCTATCAGGGCCAAGGGATTCCCGATCAAATACTTTAAAGGGATCTCCCCCCCCCCGTAGATGCAGACCTGGATGCCTCTACTTTGCGCAGCTGGACCACCTGAGCCTGGAGCGCCTCAACGAGCTTTACCAAGTCGACGAACTCCTATATATGAAAGGAGTCGTCATAGAAGTCTGGCAAGGAAGAGCGGGCCCGTCACAATGCCACCGCTACCAGGCCTTTGGCCATTCATCCACAAATTGCTTCAGGCCAGTGAAGTGTGTTCGCTGCGCCGGGGACCATATCGCCAGTAACTGCCCAGGGGTAGAGACGAGGAACCGAGGTGCGCAAACTGCGCCAAGAACCATACTGCTAATGATCGCCGCTGCCCAGTCCTGAGGAGGATTGCAAGGAAGCAGGGGTCACTTTGCCGGGCCTACTGCCGGAAGAGCCCAAGAGGGTCTCCCTGAGTCGTCCCAGGGCCGTAGTCCAGGAAGACAGGTGGACTACTATCAGAGAAAAGGGTAGGCAGCCCGCCCCCCCTCCACCCGTCACAACACCTATGGAAACGCTGGTGCCGGTTATAACAACAACTAAGGCAACCACTGGGGCGACTCTCCAGCCCCCCGCTAATGACGCAATTGAGCGTCAAACCTCTCAGAAGAGCAAGCGGGGAAGGAAGAAGAAAAAGGTGCAGCCCCCTCCTCAGGCAGCCACCTCTACCCCAACCCCAGCGGTAACGATAGCCCAGGCGCAGGTTACCAAGGAACAGAAAGCAGCCAGAAAGGGCTCTATCTGAAAATAGAGTCCGCTCTACATATAGAGCGCGCTCTACCCATATACAAAGAAATGGCATCCAACACCCGAGACCAGTGCCAACACCTTCTCAGGCGCAAAAAACACCATCAGCCGGCTTCGGCACTGCTGACGCCATCCAATGTTTGGTTGGCATAGCAATCGAAGTCGGCAGTCAGGTCCTGGCCGATATTAGAGCCGGGACGGATCCTATAACAGCGCTGATGAAGGTGCTGGCAAACCTCTAAGCACGGCACTACGGAGGAGAGTAACCTGCGCCTCCTCTACTGGAACCCGGATGGGATACAGCAGAAGCTACATGAACTCCGCACAGTCGCCCAACAACAAGACATTCAAGTCATCTTGCTGGGAAGGATGAAATTAAATCCGAACACGTACGTAAAGCTGTCCAATTACCATATCTACAGGAGGGACGAGGTCACTTCTCAAGGGGCCACCTATAGAGGGACGGCGGTTCTAGTTAGCGCCGCTACACACTCGTCCACCGGACGGGCGACCCTATCCAAGAGAACTCCTCTCTATATAGATTAGAGAGTTGAGTAAAAACCACAATGCCGCTGATAGGCCAACTTTGACATCTCAAGATAACCTCCTTTTTTCATAAGTCTTAACCGACTATGAAAAAATTTCGTCGTACGTGGAAGCAAACTCCTAGTGAAACGTACAGTTGTGGACCACCAAGCATCCAGATGGTGTGGATGGTTTTGTCACGATGTGCGTTTATGAAATTTGGTACCTGAGATTTATCGTAACAATTCCTCAGAGCACTCCCCGTGGTAGAAGCGAAACAAAATGCTAAGGGATGGAACATCTCTTCGCAGCGCCAGTGAGTACAGCTAATCGAAAAGGACTCAGTTGTCGACGATTCGCGCTACTCTGCGTTAGATGCAGTCAAGTGGAAGGAGCTGGCACTGGGGAGCCCAGCCCAGAGATGGGAACGGTATTCCATGTGAGGCTAAACCTGTGCCTTGTAAAATTGCAGACGGTGTTCCAGCTTGAAATACTGAACTGCTCTGCTGATCACGCGAAGCTTTTTAGAGGCCAATTTGACACTTAACCAACTACGGACTAAATCCGGGAAAAAATTCAACAACGCCTTAGATAAGGCTCCCAGGACCGGCCCATAGTAGTGGGCCGCGAGGATGATCCGGGTAATGGGGGCACACCCCGAGGCCCGAGACCTGCCGGGCCTAAGCAGCTCTCGCAGATGACAACACTGAGCTCAAGCGCAGTCGCAGCACAGCCGTCGAAGAAGTAACAACAAAGGAAAAAAGGGAAGCCGAAACCTGCGGAACAAGAAGCTACCCAGAAAGTGTTTTAATTTTGTCTCCTCTCGGCTACTCGTCTCTCTCGAGGTCCCAGTAGGGTCGTACTAATACATACGCATTCAGGGGTGCGTGGGACGTGCGTTACCAGCGAATAGTAAGGAGCGTACGTCAATCAAGTGGGAGATTGTCCCAGGGCGACTGTGCGGGCACTGGACGTGTGCCGTCCGAAACAGTGCCGGTGAATGGAAAACCGTCCAATGGGTTGTAATTTAGCAAAAAAGCACAAACGAATAAAAAATCTTGCAAAACATTCGATTTATGAAACAATAAAACAAATGGGGTTAGATGAGGGTTGGGGCAATGGAGTTACAATAAAGTCAAGAACTTCCTAGCTGTCATTTTATTCTTAATCCACTAGTCACAGCCAAAGTATGACCCATTCCTAATTGGATAAATCCGTACAGATATTCATATCCTAGATAATACTTACTGGCCAGATTAACTAAAAGACTTTCACCGGAGCTGGTTCCGAACATGCTGGGTGGAGCTGATGCCATGTTGGAAAGGTTCATTAGTAAAGTTTTGACTAGAAGTGGCGCGTGCATACCGTAACGGCCTTGGAATAGTGTTCTGAAATAATAAAAAAACTAAATTATTATAGCAGAAAAAGGACGAAATTTGTTGTCTCATTTATATATTTTTAGTCACTGCAATATCGTCCAGTATTATGCAAGCATAACTTTAAGTGCCACACAAATGTGCGTATTTAAAGTAAATATTGTACAAGAGTATATTATTTTTCTATTCACATTTGAAAACAAAAAATCTACGAATTTCAATGATCTAATTATGTTATCTGGCTCGAAGGACCACACGAATGAAAAAAAATATAATTAAAGAAAATGTTATAAGTTTTTGGATTCATTTAAAAACTTGGAAAGTAACGCCGTGTACGTTGCATTGTTGGGCACATACTTCCTCTCCTTTCTGGGAGGGTTTTATTTATAAATTAGAATGTGTGGCAAACAATAATTACCTGTATATAAGTGAGGTTTCCACTAGACGTGTTTGTCCGTGCACACCAGCAAACATGTATACGGACATTAACACTAATAATGTGTTTAAACATTCCAAGTGTAAATAATACGTGTTGTCTCTGGAATAAAAAGACAAAAGATGGTGTAAAACTTTTAAACTTGTCGAAAATTATATTTCAGCGCATATGTGGACCAGTAGCAATAATCGAGATTAGGGACATTACCAGTACGAAACCAAGGTCCAAAAATGAATCAATACCGCCTACAGAAAGGATTAATTCGGAAAATAGTACACTAGAAGTCATAAGCTTCTTTGAGGTTGTTGGAGAGATTAGCTGTAAATTCTACACTGGACAAGAGTTATGAGGCTTTTCGACAACCACAGGATAGGATGCAGATGTTGCCAAAATGTATTAGTATCAATTGTAAACAGAAATCTTTTTAAGATTAATATCGTATTTTAAGTAATAAAATATTATCATAGTGTAGAAATATTGTTCACCAGTTGTGGAGTAATTCCTACTGGAAAACGATTCCAACCAGAGCAACACAAGCGTACTACTGGTAAGAAGTGTATGTAGTCAGTATTGTAAATAATTGAAAGTGTAATAGGGTAACCAATTATCATCAAACTTACAACATTTCAAATGTCCACTTTTGAACTTAGGCCTGTCCTATTGATTGCTTTGTAGGGACGAAGCAATTATGCCATAGTTGCAACGGCAGTTTTTTTATTATTTTTGCTTGTTAACAGAAGATGTTGCTGCTCATCTCCTGTTTCAGTTTCCCTCTATCACCTCTTTGGAGACCAACGGGATAATATAGTGTAGTGAATTCCCTTACCCCGAAACTACACGGCACCAGTAACTTCTGATGAAATGTTAGCTCATACACAGTGGCGAAGCTAGAGCTCCAAGCTAGGGCAAGCCCAAGATATAAATTGATAAAAATATAGATTGTTGTTTTTAGCAGTTTTATAAAAATACACCAATCTTGATCTGTCTCCACGCTTCAGTTTCATATTCAGTGCTGTCAAGGACGTGCGATTTGACAAAGCACACAGAAGGCATACCACTGCTAATGATTGTATTACACATCAGCAATTGTATAGCTTCGGTGGCTTTGAAGAAAGCCGTTTGGGTTTGTTTAAGCGAAAGAAAAAAATATTTACATCCAATACATGAACAAAAGTAAAACACGAACAAAGTACAAACAAACTATGTACAAAATTAAAAAAAAAAATTATTTACATTCTAACGGATAAGAGATAAGTGGAATCGTCTCGCTTTCTTTTGGAAAGATTTAATTACGTCCACGTAAAATGTTGGTGAACGTTTTAATTGTACCAATAAATGTTTTTAATTGTGATAATTGATAAGTCTAAAATACACTCTTAACCTTGTGTATTATCTCAACAAAGTTTAAAGATTTCCTCTCCGATTATCACTTTAACACACTTCAATTCATCACAAGGAACACTATATCCTCCATTTTCATTAAAAATCTTTAAAAAAGCATAAATTTTGAACTCGTAATATTAAATCGCTTAAGATAAGCACACAGAGTAAATAAACATTGAAACGTGAAATGAACTTGCAAACGTATTGCCCGCGCGCCTCCGCTTTTAACAAATTTATTCCCAAAAGCCTGGCTTTAAATCTCTATACTAATTGCTGTATATATATACAATCGTAGTTATATTTCAATATAGAATATTTTGCCATAGGTTAGAAAGAGAGCGATCGTCTTCTCGAAAGCCCCGTAAAAAGCCCACGCGAGCGAAGGGAGACTACTATTAGCTCTATTAAAACTCATTTTTTATGACAACAGCAGTATCGCTAAGGCAATACGAGGTCATCGGTCGACATGTGTCGAACAGTGGAGTGCGCGGGAAATTTGAAATAACTTGAAACATTTTACTAGTTATTTTATTAGTTGATATTATTGATTAATACAGGTTTAATAAGGCAAGCCCGGCTTTTCGGCTTTAATGCAAGCTTCGCCACTGCTCATACAATACTTTGTTTTCAACAAAAATAGATTAAATAATAAAGAAGACTAATTTATAGAAGATTTCATTTCAAACAGTGCAAATTCAGCCACATCTCTGTTTGAAGAATGGGTTGGCTAAACCGGGGAAGGACCACGCTCGCAAAGAATGATGCTGCTGTTTCGAGTATAACAAAACTGAAGTCCCTTTTTACTAGCAATGAGGTGGCACTCTTTCTTTCTTTCCTTTATATAGATTTTACTAAATTAACACCTTTAAATCTGTTTTGTATCAGTTTAATGGACAAACAACGATTTTTCTTCTTATCAAGTGTGGACTTTATTTGCTTTTTAGATGAGATAATATGTACTGAAAGCTTACGTCTTACTACTATTATACATTAGTTTTATTTAAAACTTACGTAACAGGTATATCAATAATTATTCCAATGAGGGCATCAATCAGCATTTCCACCCTACTTTCGCTTCCCACGAGTTTCGGCGAGGCTGGAGCTTCGGCCACGTTGTCTGCAATCTGAGATAGAGTCAGTGGGGAACCGGAAGATTCTGGACTGGGCAGTCCAGGGAGCTGCAATAAGAATTTATCTATTATATTATCAAATAGGTTGAATCTGTCAAGGTCATGCGACTTGATTGTGGGTTTATTGTTTTGATTTACGTTTTTTCTTTATTCCAATAATAATAATAATAATAATCTTTATTTGCAAGAATATGGTTGTACAATGGTGTTTGAGTATAATTCGTTCCACATATTCTACCTTAGTGGTGTGCAAATATTAATGGTCAAGTAACCTAAACAACAATACTTATCGAATTTAACAACATATATTAATTTAACAAAATATAAAATTATTTAATATTATTTACTTGATTTGATAATTAATTTATTACGCCACAATGTCAGAATAAATATAAGTAAGTATTATTATATCAAGTAAGATTATTATTATACGTCAATGTCATATATTAATTATTATACTTACGTCAATAATTATATAATGTTACATATCCAATTGTCATTAATATCTTTCTATTTTTACATCAAATTTATTAATTAATTAGATACATAAGTCAAATTTTATATAAAATAATATCAAAAACATTATTTTTTTAAATATCAGAATCTCGTAATTACGTAATTAATCCTATTCTAAAATTATCATTCATTATTACTCGTATGTAGGTCGTTGTCGTTTAAGAACTCTTCTACAGAATAATAACATTTACGGAGCAACAATGCCAAAACAGATTTCTTAAATGACAATAAACTTTTACGCTTTAAATTATCCAAGCTGCTCATAATTTTAAAGTGACTGAACCGTTATGAAATTGCGACTTGTGATTGTCGTAAAATCTGAATGTAGATAAGACTTTTATAAAATAAGAAGTTTTGTGAGTATCGTAAGATGAAGCTTAAGGCTTGCGCACAAAGCAAAGTAGCACAGAGTATGGTTGGATTTTACAATAGTAAATAAAGTTCGAAAATGAAAACAATGATATCTAAAGATAAATCATTATTATTCTTAGTGCCGTAGCGTTTAAAAATACATATTAGGATAAAATATTTTCTCGGCAGAAAAGAAACAAAATTACCTTTGTTGTCCGGCTATTTAGGTTCTAATTTCAATAAAAATTATATATATGTTACGAGCTTGAGGTTCGTGACAATAAAAACTGCCGATTGAATTACCGAAATTAACACTTTAATTCACTTTACACTAATTAAAATTTAAAACACTAATAATTAATCACACTAATTCACTTTATTCCGCTCCGAAGCTTCGCTTGTCTCGCCAAATTCAATACTTCCCCGATCGCACCTTGCAGCGCCTATAAATACACACCAAACTCCAACATCTAATACCCGTAGAAAGTTCGAGTGTCGGCTTCTAGAAGCTTAGTTCTTCGTTTCGACACTAGATGGCGCTGTCGGTTGAAAGATTAGTGATGTCATCTTCTGGAAAGTTCCCCCCGCTCTGGTCCCTGACACAACATGACGTAAACTTAGGCGCGCAACACTGCCCCCTCCTAAAACATGCTCGTCCCGAGAATTATCGGCCCCATAATAACGCGCCAAGCGATCCACATGGACGATCTTAGGAGTCCCTCTTGCGCCTTTCTGTATCCGGTAGGTTACATCGTTGATCCTGGTTACAATCCGGTACGGGCCGTCCCATACTGAAGCTTAGGAGATTTCCCTTTGCTGCGGACTGGATTGTGCAACCACACTAGTGAACCTTCGTCGAACCCTTTATTGTTCATTTTGCGGTCATACCGGGTTTTCATCTTCTCAGACATTTGCTGGCCCGATTGTCTGACGTGCTCATAAATGTCATTCATTTTATTCCGCAAGTCATTTGCATAATCGGTTATACTGCGTGGGGCATCAGGTGGTATCCCGGTGATTAGGTCTGCAGGCATCAGTAATTCTCTTCCAAAGTTTGCGAAAGCTGGTGTCAATGCTGTACTTTCGTGAACAGCGCTTCGATATGACAACAAAAACGGTTGTATGTGCTTGTCCCAATCTCGTTGCCGATTGTCTACAATTTTTGCTAGGTATCTCTACAATGTCTGATTAAATCGTTCTACCATTCCATCAGATTGCGGGTGATAAGAAGTCGTTCTTGTTTTATGAGTACCCATAACTCGGCAAGTTTCCTGGAATATTTGAGACTCAAAATTCCTTCCTTGATCGCTGTGGATCTCTAAAGGTACTCCAAAACGACAGAAGGCTTCATGAACTAGTTTATCTGCAACTGTTGAAGCATCTTGATTTGGAATGGCGAAGACTTCTGGCCACTTAGTGAAGTAATCCATCACAACCATGAAATACTTGTTACCGCTTTCACTCTCCGGAAACGGCCCCGCCACGTCAATGGCTATTCTCTCCCATGGTGCACCAACATTGTACAACTTCAACGCACCTCTACTACGAGTCTGAGGTCCCTTTACAGCCGCACAACTTGTACATTTGCGACACCAGTCCTCGACATCGTTTCGACAGTGGACCCAGTAAAACCGTTCTCGGATCTTCAGTAGAGTTCGTTTAACTCCCAGATGGCCTCCTGAATAATCATTATGGTACAGCTGTAGAACATCTGGTACTTTAGCTTTAGGGACAACCATTTGCAAATGACAGCTGTCTCCCCGAACATTTTCCCACTTACGGCACAGAACTCCATCCTGAAGCAGCAAGCTGTCCCACTGGGCCCAATAGCTTTTAGTGGTCGAACTCATCGCTGAGACGTCGCTCCACTTGGGCTTGGGAGCACTGGCCTTCATCCATTCCAGAATCGGCTTGATGTCCGGATCTTCCTGCTGTGCACGTTGTAAGCTATCCTTCCACTCGTTGCTGAGGTGGTCTGCCCTGAGCATCCTCACGGATACCACTTCATTACTCTCTTGCCTAGTACAATGTTTGCAATCTTCAGGACAAGGTCTTCTTGACAATGCATCTGCGTTGCCATGAGATTTCCCGCTGCGATGTTCGATCTCAAAGTCGTATTCCTGCAGTAGTTCAATCCACCTCGCAACTTGCCCTTCTGGATTTTTAAACTGCAATAGCCATTTTAGTGCAGCATGGTCAGTTCGTAAGTGAAATTTTCGCCCCAGAAGATATTTGCTAAAATGCTGCAACGACTTTACCACAGCTAGCAATTCGCGTCTTGTGACACAATAGTTCCTTTCCGGTTTTGACAACGACTTGCTGAAGTACGCTATCACGACCTCTTGGTCACCATTCCGTTAAGACAACACACCGCCAAGTCCTATATCACTTGCGTCTGTGTCAACTATAAATTCTTTGCTTGCATCAGGGTATCCCAAAATAGGTGTTTTGCACAGACGGTCCTTGAGCTCCTGGAACGTGATATTGCAACTTTCATCCCAGCAGAAACGTCGCTTCTCCTCGGTTAGCTTATGCAGAGGTTTGGCTATATCTGCAAAGTTCTTCACAAATCGCCGGTAATAGGAGCACAAACCCAAAAATGCCCTAACCTGCGTCTTGTCTTTTGGAACCGGCCAATCCTTGACAGCTGCGATTTTCTCTGGATCCGTGCAGATACCTTCTTCCGACACTACATACCGCAAAAGTTAACTTGCCGTTTGAATAGTGAACATTTCTTCGGACTCAACTTGAGGTTGGCACTCTGAATCTTCACGCGTTCCAGGTTTTGAAGGTGTTCCTCAAACGTACGGCCCACGATGATGATGTCATCCAAGTAGACCAGACAGGAATCGCCAATTAGCCCGGTAAGTACAAGTTCCATCAGCCTTTCAAACGTTGCTGGAGCATTGCATAATCCAACGGCATTACTTTAAATTGCCACAGACCCTTTCCCGTCGAGAACGCAGTTTTCTCCTTGTCCTTAGGGTCAATTTCAACTTGCCAGTAGCCACTTTTTAGATCCAGCGTGCTATACCACTTTACTGCTGTAAGCATGTCCAGCGTGTCATCAATTCTTGGCAAGGGATAGCTGTCCTTCTTCGTAACGTCGTTCAGACGGCGGTAGTCAAACCTGCATGCTGCCATCCTTCTTCTTTACCAGCACCACGGATGAACACCATGGACTAGAGGAAGGTTCAATAACACCGTCCTTCACTATTCCTTCAATCATGGTTCCTACTTCATTTTCACGTGCTACCGGCAATCTTCTTGGCCGCTGACGCATGGCAATTCTTCTCCTGTGTCTATTTTGTGTTGAAATAAGCCAGTCTTTCCAATGTCAGCATCGTTTGATGAGAATACATCGGCATACGTGAGTAACAACTTCTTCACCATTTCGGTCGGGGAGAGAACGCTGCGACAGTCTTCCAAAAGTGTGATCACTCTCGTTTGTGCATCCTTAATGGGGGTCCCAGTCGATAGATATTGGCACCGACGTAGCCAATCCACTTCCTCACAAGTACCAACCAGTGTGCTTTTTTCTATAATCTGCTCCTGGTCACAAAGGTTCAGCACACGTACTCCTGAGATGTTAGTGGTCCTGACCAAGGTTCGAGCCACTTTCCATGGAAGGTCATTGTCTAACCTTTCCACGAGTACACAACGATGAGGTTGTCCAGGATTCCGAGGAAGACTAACCGGCACAATCGTTTCCGATCTCGGCGGAAGAACAATCTTCTTAAGGCTATACACGTTCCCTGGTAACGCCCCTTCCACAAAAAGTTCCTCTTGTCCACACTTCAAAACACCTTGCTTGACGTCAATCGCACAATAATTCTTCCTCATGAAGTCTAGGCCCAGGATACAGTCGTCCATTATATCAGCCACGATGACATTATGCAGGTAGATCATGTTGCCTAGCTTCAACTCCATCTCTTTCTCTCCACGGACGGGTATACGCTGACCGGTGACCGGTACAAATTAATGCGTTCTCGGTTGTATGCTGAGTCCCCAAGGAACTGACTTATAAGTTGGGAACTAACAACCGTACGAGAGGCTCCAGTATCTATGGACAGTTTACACGGCATTCCGTTGACCTCACCCTTGATGATCAGACTGTTCCCATCATGGGTTTACACTCATGATTTTTTATTCAAATTACCAGTTCAGTTTTTTCTATTATGTCAATAAGATCAAAAAATATTATTCATGTTTTATCAGTATGTAATTTGTATCTAAATATAATTTCCAAAACACACGATTTCAAAAAAAATACTGATGAAAGCTCAGTCATCCAGGTACTTATATATTAAAGTAAATTATCAGAAGAGCATGAGCATAAGACGAGCAGCATAACACTGCCAAAATATTGCTATTGAATTGATTTTGTCCCAAATCAAAGGCTAGTTCTTATATCAAATGTTCTTAACGCAAATATCTTATGCTTTTATATGCTATGCGCTACGACACAACACATAGCCGCCTTTCACAGTAAAGATGAAGATGGAAGGAGAGGAAGATGGAAGGTTTACTGAAGGAAGCATGTGCTAATGGTCACAAAGGATGATTGGGTAAAAGTGGTGGAGAAAACAAGGAAAGTTATTATGGATGAATTTTAAAGGGACATTAATTTAAACTACATTATTAAAATCAAAATTAATATAAATTATGACAGATCAACTAGTTGTAGTGAAAGTGATTGAATAAATTTATTTTTAATCTAGTTTCAATCTTTAATTCACCTCTAGAAATAAGCAGTAACAATAAATACGAAGAAACTAAGAAATTTTGTGTTTTAAATTATCCATTTCTAATTTATTCTGGTATTAAACGAAATTAAACTGTAAATGATTACCGACTTTAAAGAACCGATATCGATTTTTCTTAAGAATCGAATATTGTATGTACAGATTTTTTGGTTAGCATGCCTAGTGCAATAAGTCTGACATCTGTCAAAATGTATTTCTTAGATTTGGTTGAGTATAATACATATACATTCTATAATATATACAAACATATAATATACATAAATAATACTTACTGGGGTGCTATTCAAGTCCCTCACATCTACTGGCCCGTTGGGAGCGCGGGCCGCATTCACGTCAAGGTGTCGACACAGCTCGTACTCAGGCACAATCTCCACCAGATACTTGCTTACCGCTCGTATCACAAACAGTGCGTTGAAGGTCTGCCATGCTAACATTACACTGTACAGAAATTTACGATGATATATTATAATGACCACCGTGTAGTAGCGGTGTAAGAATATCAAGTACCCTATACTGTTCTATGGTGTCTTAAGAGGCGATAGAGCGAAACTGAAATATAATGGGTAACTATATCTATTCTATTCATTTGCATTTTATTTTGTCTTATAATATAATAATTTATTTATTTCTTATCACAAACGACATGGACGATACATTAGTGTTACATCTCTATTTTAACAATAATATGTCATTCATGGGAGACTGGTGTCCGTGTAGGTTCAAAGACCCGTATTACAGGTCACCATCCCCTCCCCCCCCCCCGAAATTACTTGGCAATTGATATAATATTATACATAGATCACTTATGTTATGGTTAGGAATAATATCATATAGAGCGATTTATCAGTTTGGATACATAGAAATAAAAAATATAAAACAAAAATAAAAAATAAAAACCAAGTATGTTTGTAGCGTAAGTATAGAGTTTGTGACTGTTAGCATGTCTGCGTGTATGTCTGTGAATTTTTATGAGATAATTTGGAGTAATTGTTCAGTATCTGTGTATGAAAGAGTTTGAAGATATTCTACAAGTCTATTTTTACATGACCGCCTGTTGACTTTATAAATAGACAATTTTTGGTGTAATTTATTACATAAATACCGACCCAAAAAAGTGAAGAATTACTTATATACTGAATAAATGTACACCACTTTCCCTCCAGGGTTCACTGGCAGAGAATGCCCACAACAAGGCATTAAGTCCGTCCTTTATATCCCGTAGTATAAGGTGTATAATAAAGATTATATAAATGAGTATCTACCTGAAAACAACTCCCAGTGGTTTTTATAAGTTGTAATTGCAGAAACTCAAGCTCTAATTCAATATTCAGTATTGGGTCAACTTTCCACACCAAATATGCAAATTTCACGGCTGTCAGTAACGATGTAGTATATACAGGTCTAAGAGCTAGAAATCCGTAACATACGGACAAGCGAACAGACAGAAAAACAGAACCTTAGAAATTGCCAAGATAGATATTTATTGGTAATAAAAACGTCTACCATAACCTATTTAAACATTATCAAGCATCCGAATCGAAAGAACACCGATTCCTACCAAGAATAATACGTGAGGCTATTGAAATTAAAAAAAACATCCTAATTTCAATAGAGAAGAAGGCTGGGTACTACCACCTGCTTGGGACCCTATAATCAATGAAAAAAAAACTAAACTAAAGCATACCACTACAAGACCTCAAGACATAGTCAGTTCATTTTGCATAGATCGGAACATAAACAATAATTAAAAAAGCTGAAGGTACTCCGGGTTTAACAATGACATCGGGACGTCAGTCACCTCAGTCCCCCGTGACCATGGGTGCTGGAAAGCACCCGAAACGTCGGGAATTAAAAATAAAAATAATTAAAATTAAACGCGATAAAATCCGTAAAAGTAGTTTTAATCAATGTGTAGTGTTCGCGTAAATATAAGAAATCATTATCAAGTACTATGTTACTCAAATTCAATGTTGACCATGACTGTTATTTGTGTCGTCATTCTGTTACAAATACTTATGTTAAAACTAGTAATAAACCTGATTAATTTTTATCTTATCCTTAAAAAACAAATAATATTAAAGTATGAAGATAAAGAAAATTTGTTTTTAAAAAGTAAAAGACATTACATTGGAAAAGCAAAAAATTCATTAATTGACTAAAACAAAAACACATGTATGTATAAATAAGCTGTCAATTATTTCTTCAAGGATACTATTAAGTGCTTACAAGTAATAAGGAAGGAAACAAATTAAGAGATGAGCTTCCATCTTAGTGCTCAAAGATGACAATGAATTTGAAAAGATGTTGCTGTAAATTGACCATACCATCCTCTTACCATCAGGTGGACTGTGTGATTGTTTATCACTTTTTATTAAAAAAAAAACAGAACCGAATTAATTACTTTACAGTCATGTAGTCGTAGCATAAAACAAGAGATGTTACTCCATTAACTCATGAATAATCTAAGAGTAGACTTTTCTGTTTGTCAACCCTTACGGTCTCCAATGAATGATAGAATAACTTATTTTTTGCTGACTACGAGGGCGGCACTGAAAATTTCGGGAATCAAGGAAGTGACACAACATTACTATTTAAAAATGTATTTATTGCTTTTCGAAGTATTCTCCGTGAAATTTGACACATTTTTCCATACGATGGAAACAATCATTGAAGCAACCATTCCATTCGGTAGTTGGGGTCTCCAAAATTGCCGTTTTGTAGACGTCCACAGCTTCTTCAGGTGATGAAAATCTCTGTCCACGCAATTTATTCTTTATTTTAGGGAAAGTATAGAAATCATTAGGGCTTATTTCAGGGCTGTACGACGGATGGTCTAATAATTCTATGTTTTCTTGCTCTGAAAACTCTTTTGTTCTGTGTGCGGGGTGAGAACTCGCATTGTCGTGATGGAGGATGATGCGGCGGTTGCAGTTCTCTTTACGGAGTTAAGAAATGACCTGTGGCAAACAAATGCTAGCATTATCATTCTGCATTAACTGTTCTTTGTCCCTCAAGAGGAATAGTCATAGCATGGCCGGTTTTGGAGACAAACATGGCCACCATTTTTTTTTGCAACACTCCGTGAATTTCGTTCACGTTGGCTTTAACTCATTTTCGAACACCCAAACTCCTGCCTGGTTTTTTGTTTCGGGTTCATACGCGTATATCCAGGATTCGTCACCTGATACGATGTTGTATACAGATGTTGTATTTGAGGATCCTACTTGGAATCTTTCGAGAGTTCTGACGCACCAAGTAAGGCGAGCCGCTTTTTGCTCTTCAAAGAGCGAATGCGGTACCCATCGGGAAAACAAATTTTTTACACCTAATTGTTCATGCAAGATTATTTGTATTTGACTCATGCCAATGTCTAAAGTTGCCTGAATTACGCGGTATGCCACATGTCGATCTTCCTCAATCAGCTTACGCACAGCATTAACGTTTTCTTGGATGACTGCAGTTTATGGACGACCTTGACTGAGCTTGATACCTCCACATTGAAATTCAGCAAACCAGCGATAAATTGTGGTTTTGGATGGGGCTTCATCACCGAATGCAGAAATTATCCGGTCAACACACTGTTTTTGTGTTAAACCACTTCGAAAGTCATAATAAATCATCGCTCTTGAATTTTCTTCAGTCAATTCCATTTTCTCAATGACTAAACAAGTTTGACAAAACCTTTGACAAGACCGAGAATCTTTTTTAAATAAATAAATGGTATTCGATTTTTAAAACCAAAGAGTTTTCAATTAAAAATATATTAATATGACAGGAACAGTGGAAATATTCCATTCCCGATACTTTTAGTGCAGCCTAGGTATGAAATGGGGCACTAAGGGTGCAAGAATGAGATGATATTATCATCACCACTATTGTAGTCTATCAATATTCTACTGCTGAACATAGATAGCTTTATAAGGGGAATATTTGCCAAAGTTGGCACGCTAGGCAGACAAGTTTTGTATTAAGACCCGTTTTGTATTATTTTAAGCTGGCATCATGGATTGATAATCACAGATTACCAAGAAAGGACACAATAGTGATTATGAGTCTGCGTTTTGGACACATTCCTTCCAAGAAGTTTGCTTTCCTCATGAATAAAGTCCTGTCACCGAACTGTGAATGCGGTGTTCCCGAGGACCTAATGCATGTCTTCATGAAGTGTGCCCGCAATGCTGCCTTTCAAATAGCTGTGTAAAAATATTTTAAAAGAATTTGCTGACTGTAACATTATTTTATCCAACCCTCATTCTGATGAAACAAAATTACTGGTTAAACTGTATAACATAGTGTTCTCCTCAGATCAGTCAACTAGATAGATTTTTTTTCTTTTTGTTTGCTTGATAAATTGAATTTTATTAGTTTGTACTGATGTCAAATAGAGCGACATAATCGCATTTTGATTAAGCTCTTCAAATAAAGATTTAAAAAAAAGCTGGCATCATATAGATGCTGCCGCCAATCACAATTTTCAGTTTCATACTGATGCCTCTTACAAGACCCATGGGATGATTGGGGTAGTGGATATTCTTATGCTGCCACTTCATATTGAAAAGATTGTTAAGTATAATATTAAAGAAAATTATTGCAAGTATACATAAAATTACAATGCCAACATTATGAAAACGTGGTAGAGCCATGCTGCAATTATATTAGTAGTATAGTTGTAGCACGAATGGGTCGGCTCGACCGGGGAAGGACCACGCTCTCACAGAATACCAGCGTGAAATAGTAGCTTAATGCTGCTGTATTTCGTATGGTGAGTGTAGAGAACCGGAGACCCTTTTTACTGGAAATGAGGCATTCCATCTCAGTCCTCACGGGTGACAACGCATCTGCATTTTGATTTGTAATGGAAGATAGATGTAGATGTCTATGGGCCGCAGCAACCACTTACCATCAGGTGGACTGTGTGCTCGTTTGTCACCCTATCCTATAAAAAAAAAAAAAAAAAAAAAAAAAAAAAAAAAAGCATATTAACCCTTCAATCCCAATAAAAATCCCTTGCAGTCGCATGCGCCTTTCAAATCTCGAGCGGTCGCATGCGACCGCACCCACCCACAGCACTTAAAACCATTATAACTTATATTTAGAGACTACTTTTCCATGAAGAAGTTTATCATGATAAATCTATACAAAATTCTCTATCCTGTGGTCCATACAAAAGTCAGGTTTTACTTCATTACAAAAAGATTTAATGTATTTTGATAAAAACAAAAACATACCAAGCAAATGTCGGTACAATGTGAAAATCACAAGTATTTCAATATATATTATTCAAAATTATTCAACAACATCCCCTTATTACAATTTTATAATAAAACAATATACTAAAACACTAATAAAACACTAGAAAAATCCAAAAATCAACACAATAACATTCATGCGAAAATGGCATACGAAATGAATGTAGATTATAAATAAATATCGATAGACTAACTGACTTTTATTGCACTAGAGGATAGAAAATTTCATATTGATTCTATAATGCCAAACTTCTTCATAGAAAAGTAGTCTCTGAACATAAGTTTTTATGGGTTAAGGTGCTGTGGGTGGGTGCAGTCTCATGAGACCGCTAGGGATTTGAGGGAATATGGCCGCGGTCTCTACCTAGGTGTAAGAGACAGAATACTGTGAAATCAACATTCTTCATTTATATATCTTTTGAAATTAATCATATTAAAAAAATTACTGATAATTCTTGCTTACTCACTTATCACTGTTAGGTGCTGCTAGTAGTTCAGTGGCACGTGTTATAAACACCTGTACTAGTGAGCCAAGATTACCAGTTTGCAAATTATTTTGTAGGAACTTCTGTAGCAGTGCTTCAGTGCTTGAGTCAAATATTAGCTGCTCATCACTGCAAATGAATATGTGAGTATTTAAGATGAAAGAAAATAGAATTAAAGATACTAAGATAACTAACGAAATCTGGTGAGGGTAAGATCATCATTCCTCATTGTCAATGTACAACGGACGCAGATTATAAAATGATTGTATGATTATACTGTAGGAATAAATTTGAAGATTAGTGATTACGCTAGGTCTAGATTAGCAGGTTATATTGTACATAAATATCTATAATGTACAAGAAATAAACAATAATAAAAAAACTTAAGTATGGGGATTATATCTTTATGTAATAAGTGGAAATTTTCTGTATTGTTTACATTCTCTTTAATTTCATTAAAATAGATTATACCAATTCTAATGAAATCAGAAATATCATATATATGCTAAGAAACAAAATATGTTCTTAGAAAAATGTGCATAGTAAAAGGTAACTTACGTATTGTTTGGCAATTGTATATTAAAAGCCAATAACTGATTCCAAAAGGGGTCATTTGGACAAATGATTTCTGAAGAGCAAAAGCGCGCAAGGAGTTCATTTGATGATATGTCTGAATATCTACTTATAGCCACTCCCATTTTATTTCTGGAAATTGAAATTTTTAAAGAAATAACACGCATTACACACTCTAACATAAGTATGTACTATACTATACCAAGCATTCTTTTATAATTTTCTTATAAAATAATTGGACTTGACTGAGTAGAATGGATCATTTATGCTTAACTAAGCTTGCCATGGTTAAATAAAACTTTATGGCCAGTTTGACTTAACTATGGCAACGTCTTCTGAATAATGACCAGAACTAAAGATTAATATATGTAAAATAAACAATATCCTTTTAAAATCATCGCTTCAATTTAATATTAAGTTTAAGGCGACTGAACTCTAACAACACAAAGAAAAATATTCATTTCCCCGATTCAATGGAAACGAAATTTTAATAAATTATTAAAAACAGGGAACATGTTATTACTACAAAAGTAATTTCAGAAGGTATGTATATAAAGTATTTTGAAAGTGTAGCAACCACTGTTTTTGTTATTAATCGATTTGTTTCAAAGTCCACGACTTTGAAGTCGGTGAAAATAATAAGATCCATGATGCCTTTTTACGTGTTGAATATTAATTAATATTTTACCTTTTACTTGTAAAGCTATAAGCTAATGTTTTTCACCGTAATGTACATAGTCAGTAATCTATGACCGAAATGTTCGCTTGAGCCACGAATTCATCGTCGATTTGTCACAATTAATATGTCAATGTCATGTGTCATTTCATGTCAAGTATCCGATTGATTTTTAAATTTATTGCTGCAATGGCTATAAAACCTTCAGCCAAATAAGATTAGATCATACGCTACAACCTTTGAGTATTCAACCAACTGGAGTGGCCATGCGCATCGCGTTAATTCCTAAACAAAAAGTGTGTCACTTTCAGGAAGAGGTGACGAAAACACACTACTGTATATTTCATTACAAATGCGTAATTGAATCGTGTCACTATACACGCACAATACAGTATTTGTGTCTGTGTTCATAGCATGTACACATGTCGATACACTGGTGCCGCTGTCTTTTTTTTATAGAAGAATGGGCAAACGAGCATGCGGTTCACCTGATGTGACTACCGCTGCCCATGAACATCCACAACACCAGGGAATTGCAGGTGCGTTGCTGGCCCTTTAGAAAGGAGTAAGCTCTTTTCTTGAATGTCCCCAGGTCGTATCGGTCCGGAAAAATCGCCGGTGGTAAACTATTCCACAGAGAGGTCGTACGCGGAAGAAAACTTCTTGTAAAACGTGCAGTGGTGGACCGCCATGCATCCAAATGGTGTAGATGGTATCTGGACGTTTGCCGCGTAATGCGTTCACGAAATTAGGCGGCTGGGATTAATCCGAACAATTCTTTAGAGCACTCCCCGAGATATATGCGATAAAATACGCAAAGAGATGTAATATCTCTTCGCAGCGCCAGTGAATGGAGCCGATCGGAAAGCACTCGGTCGTTGACGATTCGAACTGCTCTGCGCTGGATCAGTATTCCATGTGCGGCCGAACCTGCGCCTTGTTGTTGCAGGCGGTGTGCCGGCATGAAATACTGTCCTGCTCAGCTGAGCACGCCAAGCTTTTTAGAGGCCAATTAGGCCTCCTCTTCCAAGTGACCACGAAACTGCACGTCACTCGATATGTCGACGCCGAGGATTCCGATACTGGCTGAGGCAATAAGGGGAGTGCCTTGAAACAGGGGTTGACAAACTTGACAAAGGGATTCTTTTTAGCGGTTAACGCGCAAACTTGCGTCTTCTGAGGGTTGAACTGGACTAGATTTAGTCGCCCCCAATCCGAGACTTTGTTCAGCAAAGACTCCACTTCAGACACAAGTTTGTCCCGGTACTCGGAGACGTTTTCCCGAGAAATATTGGCACGGCCGGTGTACGGTGAATTTTACGGGTTTGCAACATATCATTGATATGCAGAAGAAACAGCGTTGGTGATAGCACGCAGCCTTGTGGAACAGCAGCATTAATAAGCTTATAATCGGAGTTTGCACCGTCTACAACGACCTTGTTGCTCCGATCTGCAAGAAAAAATGTCTACATGCCTAAGCAACCTATGGTGCGGACTATGTCGATATTTTTATCGATAAACAAATCATCGTAGTCCCGCATAAGTTCAGCGTTGGTAAACGTGATTTATAGTGTTTTTTCATTCATTACAGCCCTTCACAAGTCCACTGATAAACATAGGCCTCCCCCAAAAAATGCCACAAAGCACGGTCCTGAGCCACCGATTTCCTGCATCCATCGACTTCCTGCATGTCTTACCAGGTCGTCACTCCATCTATTAGGGAGAAACCCCACACTTCGCCCACCGGTACGAGGCTCCACTCGAGAACCTTATTTTTTCCTATCGGTATTATGTATATTCGAAGTAGCTATGTTTGTAAGGAAATATTTCAGCATATTTGAAAACGCTAATAATAAACGACATAGGAACAAACTACGTACAAAACCTCATAAAACAGCCCTGTATTCAAAAAGTTTCCTGGGTATGGCTCCTAAAACTTTAATAAACTTTTTAATAAACTGATGATATAGAAGAAATTGCTTTCGAGTTTTTTAATATATAAAGCATACTATTCTATCAACGAATATTTTGAAGATAAAATGAATGGTTTTAGTACCTACAATGATTAATGGACGATTTATTTATTATATTTTATATTTATTTAATTATACCTAGACAATACTTCCCACAAGTTCAAGGCTGGTATCGGCTAACCTTCTTTTATTGATAGCTTGCGGTATGAAATATGATTTATCAAAATGTTCGGAGCAAATGGTGCTAGTTCGTTTAGGTATCCAAGATTCATGATTTCTATAAGCTGCAATCCAAGGCTGCCGCCTAAGAACATCTCTTAGAAATAAATAAAATCAACCTAATATTAGAAACATTAACTGCTTTTTGTAATACTTTATTATAAAATCTAAACAAAAAATAAAACCTTCTCAGTAGACAAACCAGAATGGTTAATTAACTATCGATAGCTAAATTTGTGGCGTAGATCACTACATTGCAGTACTTTCGGTTGCTGAGATACTAGTTTATTCTATATAAAATTCATACAATTGCTACGGAGTGTTAAGTGTTGATTTAGACTTATTTGGCCTTTATTGTGTATAAGCACAAACTATAATAAGAGTACTAACGTGTATAAGTAACTGTGTATAAGTTTGATGAATACTAGTTATCGATTATATTAAATTATAACATATTCAGAATCGAGTTGAGATTGAGTTGGATATTTAAATTATTTAAATCATTTAACAAAATCCACTACACATCTTAATTTAATGATTATTACTATTCATCACAATCTGATTTAGTTTATTTATTTACATTATATATATTTTTTAAAATAGCTTATTTTTTACTTCATGAACTATGATGGCAACACTTGGTATTTTACGAAAATATTCAGAAAATAGGAGTTTTAACGATAGTATAATATTAAAAATATTCATAAATGAAAAGTCACGTTGTCCTTTTGTAAATTTTAGGGTTTTGAATGTTTATTGCATGAAAATACACTGCAATTCGGCATTTTTATCAGATTTCAATTGACTAGCACGATCACTAACTTGCGGAATGGCGCACGACGGGGTGCAACTAGTTTTATGTAACGGGTGCGAGTCGGACTCACGTACTTTTGGCAGAGGGGTATGCTTTACAATGCCACCTCCTTTGGTTTAACACTCAAAAGCTGCGACACATTCTAGGAAACATAATTAATAAAGAAACATAAAATAATATTATGTTTCTTCGTTGTTTAGTTTTTGGAAGATTTTGATGTCAGTTTAAAAGCGCTTCTACACGGTCGGGACCAACCACCAACCGTCGTGACCTTGGTCAGGTCAACCGATTTTTGTATTCGTTCTACACGGTCGGATGGTTGACTCAACTTGTCAGTTGTCTCTGGTATTTAAAGAGTAAAGACGTAAGGTAGTTACTTTTAAAAATGGCTCCTTGCTTTTCTATACGACAAAAAATCGGTTTAGATTTAACGTTTCTATGCAATGAAGATGAAAAAAGAAGAACAAAAATAAAATGGATAAAATTGTGGCTGAAAGAGCGCATTACTTTAAACAAACATGACACGGTACTTTAAGACATGGTAAATCACAGTACAGTGACAAGAATTCGGTCAGGACCTCACGTTCGTTGCTTCCGTTCGTATCCATAGCGCCGTTAAACATCCGCCTGCGACGACTGCTAAGCGCGCACTGAGGCGCTCTCGTCGGCCGACAGCGTTCCACACGGTCGGCTTCAACCACGGACCCAACGTGTCGTGAGGGATGCGCTCGCGACCAAGGCCGTCGGACTCAACCAAAATATTGGTCAGTCAACCGATGTCTACACTGTCCATTTTTACATCAACTCGACCAAGGTCACGACGGTTGGTGGTTGATCCCGACCGTGTAGAAGGCCTATAAGCGAGCCAGCAGTAGATGACGAAATTATGCAAAGTTCTCAAGGCACCTGGTATGGGGGATGTGGTGTTTGTATTTATTTAATAGATTCAATTCACTGGCTCATACACGCAAGTAGAGGGGGTACCACGTCATTCGATGTTTTCATTAGGTATCAGTAGTCAGTTGAGTGTTTCTAGATAGTTTGTGGTTGCATTGTGGAGCGCACCGAGGTAGGACATGTTCTTAGAGACTAAGTGTGATAGTGAGTCAATGTTATGCCTTGTGATTATTTATTAAGTTCTTCACGGACAATATATCTTGACGTTTACATTAATATCGGAGTAAGTGTAAGACAGATTTTGTTTCGTATGTGAATAAAATCCGTTCTATAATTACGAAGAAAAACGTAGATATACTACATAACGTAGCGTCGAATTTTATTTTATATGAGGTATAAAGCTTGTGTCTAAGACATAAGCATTAATAGATACCTTTATTTATTATACGGCATAATGTTAAAATGATACATAAATATAATGGTAGGCTTGGCCATATAATTTTTATTAATATATTTTGTCATGGTGTCCTATCTCTATTATTAGTTCGGTGGACGCTCACTTCTACTATCAGCGAAAAAATGCCGAAAATGTGATCGTCTTATTAGGTCACGGAGTATAGTCAGTCCAGTGTACTTGTATAAATGAGGTCAGTAGAATAGATTAGAATAGAATCATTTTTATTCAATATAGATCACATGTATGTAATCCATACTAATATTATAAATGCGAAAGTGTGTTTGTTTGTTTGTCCTTCTTTCACGTCGCAACAGAGCGTCGGCATGGCATGATTTTTTGTATGGGAATAGTTCGGTGGCTGTAGAGTGGCATAGGTTCCTTTTTTCCGCGGAAAAACATCTCATTCCCGTGGGAAAAGGAATATGTTGCAATAGTTTGTCCTTCTTTCACGTCGCAGCAGAGCGTCGGCATGGCATGATTTATTGTATGGGGATAGTTCGGTGGCTGTAGAGTAAACATAGACTTCTTTTTTCCGCAGAAAAACATCTCATACCCGTGGAAAAACATCTCATTCCCGTTGGAAAATCGAATATGTTGCAAAATTAAATTTAGCTAGGTGGCGCCACCGTGATTCTACAAGACGGACGACGGTACGATGGACGAACATAGAAGGT